TGAATCAAGCTCATTGAGAAAGAGGCGGAAATTGCCACTTTGGCAAATACTGCACTGACTTAAAATGACCTGATAAAGGCCAATCAAAGCGTTAATGGGGCCTGAAAACTGCAGCAACAAAGGATTTGCATAGATTCACTGATCAGGAAGGTCACATCCACGGTTACACCTTTTATTTGAGTTTGGAAATTTGAAGGTTTTAAGTTAATTTAACCATAACTGAAAAACTTTAGCATCTTTGGTCTGACTTTGAACATGCATTCAATTTTTGTGAGTTATTTTGCATTAAAGCCGATAAAAGCATCGGACCATTGCAACATCTCTAGTTTGTTTATTTTTCAGACATTCTCTTCTACAGTTTCTGTTGTTCCTGTTTGGCTGTGACGCCATCCTGGAGAGAAACATCAGCTGTGCTGCTTCCATCAACACCCTTATTTATAGATGCTGGAGATCACCCTGTTTTCCAGTGTAGTCCTGTTTCTCTGACTGTGACTGGCTGGATGTGCTCTCTTCATCCTCTGACATGGGAGCTGGCTCGGAGCTCGTCTGCCTGGCTGTGTGTTTCCTGGACGGGGCCGCCTGTGGAGGTTGCTTTTTGTATCTCTGCTTCTGTCTCCTTGAACCCCAGTGGGCCTCAGCAGATGGCCGCTCACACTGAGCCTGGTTCTGCTGGAGGTTTCTTCCTGTTCAAAGGGAGTTTTTCCTCTCCACTGTCGCTACAAGCATGCTTAGTGTGAGGGATTGTATTTGATTCAATGAGTCGATGCAATCAGCTGGTTTTCCTTAGATAGAAAACTTTGTATCAATTTGACTGGATGATCTGGTTGAACTGGAAAGTGCCTTGAGATGACATGTGTTGCCAAGTTGGCGCTATGTAAATAAACTGAATTGAAATTGAATTGTTGTGACTATAAGTAAATCAGCTGTTGGGAAAAAAAGAACACTTTTTCAAGCAGTGTTTTTGTTCATTTGTTTTTCTCAAATGGTGTTTTTTTGCTGCTGAATCACCTTAACAGCTGCAGGTGGTGAACAGCTTCACGTTTGAAATGCATTCTTAAATATTTTATGTGGTCTGGTTCAGTGGAATATCATTTAATTAACATCAACCATGGTCCATTCTCAAATGTTTTCTCCTTTTGTTGTCACATCTAGTCACTTTGTATCTTTGTGTTTTTGTAATCAGAGTCATGATTAAATGTGTAATCATATTTAAGGACATTTGTCTGAGTTTGCACAGCACCCTGTTTCAAAATGACCCTGTTTGTCTTCCCGGACACATTTCTGCATAACGTGGACAATTTTCTGCAATTTTCTTATTTTGCACCTCAGTTAGAATCAGACCCTAACTGTTCGCCAGACAAGGCCTACACATTTTTTCCAGTATTGTAAAGTCGGGAGGGAGCATTAAAAAAACTAAGGCATCCTTTTTGGTGGAACCCAATAATCTGACATGTTTGACACGTTAACTTGACTCAGACTTGATGTTTTAATTCTGGCTTTTCTGAGCGACTTTTATGAAATATCCCTCTGATCCTCGGGATCCACTGTCCAGCAGAGCACTTCATGGCATGCATACTGTAGGAGCTAATCATTAATAGCAGGTTTGCTGGAGCAGCAACATATCTAACACATGATGAACAGGATTAGTAATCACTACATTAGAAGACTTAAGAAATTAAAACCTTATAAAAAATGAGGGATCATCAAAAGCAGCACTTAGAGTTACACAAAATGTCTTTCATATTTTCATGTTTAAATGTTTTTTTATACACCAACATAAATTAGAAGATAAGAAATTGAGTGACAACAGCTCACAGCTGTTCAGGTTGTTAAAGCTTTTCAACAATTATCTTCAAGAAAACCTACAAATATCTCTAAATTTCATGTAACTGGCTTCAATTTGAACAAACAGCTCAAAACCATTATTCTTTTTTTTTTCTTGGAAATTATTTTGTTTTTTATAGGAAAAAAGAATAAGATCTATGGTATAAAAAAGCATGTTGCACACACACATAAAGCATAAATATCCTGTTAAAAATGCGTTGCATGGTTCCAGTTAGTAGCAGTGTTGCCTTGCAGCAAAAAGGTCCTGAGCTGAGATTGCATGCTTTATCAATGATGGACTTTAAAAACAGTCCAGAGCGTTTCTTTCCTCCTTCCCGTGATCAACCAATAACAGGAACATGACCCCACAGCTCCATACGACCAAGCAGGCAGAGACAACAAAGGGAGTGGCTGATGGTTGCATAACTGTACAAAAATTATGTACATTATACAAAATACGGGTCTAAATTGCAAAAGATGCATGAGACGCAGAATAAGTAGTTACTGAAACTGATGAGAGGAATCAGTTGGGAGTTTCTAGTTTAAACAAGGGGTGAGTCATGTCTTTTAGATTGAATCGATCTGAAGCGTAGCCGTCAGGTTGGTGAACACGAAGGTGCAGCGAGCTGATGACTTCAGATGACATGATTTCATCGATTTGAGATTTTCAAAGTTTAAAGTTACAGTCTCCTCCAGTTCACATAACGAACAAAAGACGGAGAAGCAAAATCAGTCAGTAATGGAGGTAAACAGGGGCAAGTGATCCCTTCTCGGCGCACTTTAACACCCCTCCATTTGCACTCATGTTCCGCCACACATAGTCAGAAACTGTTGCCTGGAGGGATTACAGCATGGGGTGGGTGTGGGAGCACGGCAGCAAAACTTCCCAATAAGACAAGGTCACCTTAAGTGGATTGGGGGATTGTGTGTGTAAGGGGTGGCTGAGTGGGTGATGTTATTCCCTCGGAGGAAAACAGGGAACAACTCATGAAAAAGTAATTAAGCAGGATGCACATGAGTGGATGCTACAGGCGGGCAAAGCGAGGGGGGGATAAAAAAACCTAGAGGTCAGGCGAACTGTTTGTACACAAGACGCCGAAGAGATGTTCACTAAACACAGCAGCATCGTTAAACCTGAAAGACTTCTTCAGACACTTTTCTATATACATTTTTTTACTTTCACAATGTCATCAAGGTGACACTTTGGATATCTATATGCAGAATTTTATGTTTTTGGTAAAGTGGGAAAGTTTTAAATGGAGTGGAATTGCCTTGAGGTGCAGCTGCTGAGTTAAATCGACTAAATTGATGGATTTTTCTGGGAAGCTCATAAACGAACACGTCTTCTTACTAAAACAGAGTTGATTTAGAACCCACGTTAATTAAATTGTCACCTTTGGCCATTAGAACAATTTTTTATTATTTTGGAGTTAATTTTCTGAGTTCTGTTTCTACAAAGGTTGAAATAAGAAAGGAAACCAAATAGAAACCAAATAGAAATTGTCTCACATTTTATTCCTTAAAGGTGTTACAGTATAACCTGGTATTTTACATATATCCTACAATCCTTCCAAAATGGCCTTTTTCCCCATTTTATTAGTTTTACGATAAAACTGTTTAAAATATGGAGCTCATTTTGACCCTTTTTTTCCTCGCAAGGGTATACACCAGAACTTAACCAGAATGTATAGGCATTTATGCAGTGTTAGCAACATTAGCAGTTAGCCGTGGTTCATTTATTATTTTTACACAATAATTAAAAGGTTCCAGAAGCAGCAACTTTTACTGACTGCCTGGAGGTCATTCCTTGATTCTTAAAATCATCCATTTTGATGAAATAGAATAAACTGAATTTTACAAAAACTAAAAATGCAAATATATTACTTTAAGGCTCTGGGAGTTAATTCTGCCAATATAAAGTGTTAACTATAAACTAAACCAAGACTAACAGTATTTACTGAATGTTGCCCATCTGTCAGTCTGCTTCCTATTGTCAGGAGGAGTTTGAGCGGGTCAGAGAGGCGGCCAGCGGCTCCATGTCAGAGAAAAGACCACCGCTTTAAGGAGACAGCCTCTGTCATCATGGCAGTAATATGTCAGCTGAGAGGTGCAGTAGTTGGCGAGGCAGCGTTCAGAGCAGGTATGCAATATACAAAGTATAGAAAGAAAGAAGCAATCTCTTTACATGCATTTTAATTTTAGCTTCCAGGTATAAATGAATCAATGTAGGCTAACATGTTCCCATTATTTTAAATATGTAAATATTTGAGTGGTTCTTCATCTTTACCTTCATCCAGATCATCTGCTATTGAAGCTGTGTTAAAGGTATTGTGGAGGACTCGCACTAACCACTTAAAAAGAAAATGTGCGTGCAAGAGGATGCACAAGCCTGTGTCTCCTCGTACACACCCTTTTTAAAATGTGCTGTTCTCATAGCTATACAAGCTTACTGTGCCCCAACGTCCGCTCCAACCCCTAAATCCCTCAATCACTATATAGAGCGGGGACTATATAGTGGACTTTATAGCAAACTCAGTTAACTGACAGACGATCACTGCTTTTATCTCCGTTGGTCACGTAACTCCTCCTCCACTGTGCTGGGCCTGCTCCATCTTTGTTATTAGGGCCATTCTGACAGCGAGTTCCATAATGTTTGGTGAGGGAAGCTCTCCAAGCAAAGCATTCTAGGATATATCTGCCTCTACTGAGGCCTTTCTTTTCTTCTCATACACTTCGTAGACACTTTTTCTCTTATAACCCTTGGCCATTTTCAAAGAATCGTGGTGAGAAAGGTGAGCTTCAATGACTGTCTGAAACCGTAGCTCACCAAACACATGTGGCTGAAAGGGCGCATTGGCAGGAAAAGGTAGGTAGCACGTAGGACGGCCTTGCTTCAACATATCACCAGAATGATTGACAATTAAGAGGACCACTGATTTAGATGATCCACCCGGAAATAAAAGTTTGTCCCCTATACCTGTAATGTCTGACATTCTCAACTGTCCGCATAAATCTTGCAGTTCCGCATTCATGCAGACCTGCAGCAGAGCCTCCATCAGAGGAAACAGTTTGGACTGCTGACCCCATTTATCCACTGTGTGTGTGAATCTGATCTAGAAACGGCTTCTCTTACCAGATGCAAGCAGTAAAAAGATGGAGGTTTTTGGAGGACATACCGTAAGACATGGGAATGTCCATGTCACCCTGCCAGGACATCTGCCCCGATTCGTCTATGGATTGTTGCGCTGTTGAAACACAAACACGTCTCTCATGAAGTTATGATCAAATTAAAGACAACAATAACAGAGAAATCTACAACTGTGTCATGCTGCCTTTCACACTGTCTGCCCACAAAGTTTGGACGTGTTACTTTGTCTTTAGAAGGATGTGTAAGATCTTTGCAAGATGTCACTTCAAGCCATTATGGACTGTAATGTCCAAGTTGTACTTATCAAAAACAAAAGTCACATTCTTTCTTTCTTTTTTTCTTTTCCGAAAGCTTAGTTCTGTGCAAAGTCCTTTGGCAGAAAGATGTATGACAACATGACGTTTTGGCTTAGGGATTCAAGTCCTCATTTTTCTGAACTTGAGCTTTGAGCTGTGAAGTGAAGCAGACATTAAGAGGATGGGCTACCTTTCAAGTGGCCACGTCCGAGCGTGACAAACCCAGAAGAGATGAAGTTGTGCATGTCTTGTCCTCCAGTACGCAGGTTTTCTTTGCCGTAATGACCTTATGGAACAGAAAAGGTAGAAGACATAGTTAGTTATGCATGTATATTTCTTTACTATAACTTATTACTGTGAATATTTCTGAAAAATCTGTAAAAGAAAATCAAGAATCAATAATAACTTTTCCCCAATAGGTTGTGAGATTTACTTAGACTTTTTATCCAAAGTATAATGCATTTTCCTGAACAGATGAGGTGTAACGGACACACATGGCTGGAAGAAAAAAACTACTGATTCCAAGAGCAAAGCATAAGATGATGTCAGAACCTGTTCTATGTGCCAGTAAACTTAAATCTAAGGGGTTATATGAAGCTGCTCCACACACTGTCCTATCACATAAGATTGGTGATAAAAATGAAATGTAAATTAATAGAAACACGATAATATAAGGCACAGAAAAACATGCCCAGTCATGTCTGTAAAGTCTGCTTATTGTTCATGTATTCCTATTAAATTGTAAAATACACCAATCCAACACTAACCAGCCTTTCTAACTTCATAAAATATTTGCATTTTTTTCAGCTTACACCAACAATGGTTGAATGACACCTCAGTCGTGGCCTGAGGGGGTCTGTATTGCTTTCCCCGGCACCAAGCAACTTTAGCCTCTTTCTCACTGAAAATAGCGCACTAATGTGTTTTTGTCAGGATCCCAGTTTTTGTGTTCGTCTGTTTGTCTTGTCTTTTGTGTTTCTCCTTTCCTCCACCAGGAGGCGCCTGGCTCCGGTCCGCCTCCTCACACACCTGCAAGCTGTTGCCTCATCACCGGACTGCTCTTAAGCTGCTGGTTGCCATTACTTCGACGCCAGAGTGTTTGCCAGTTTGGGGAACTCTAGCCAAGCCTTGTTATTCTGAGTCTATCTGAGTTTTTGCATTCTGAGTTTTAGTTCTCTAGCCAAGCTGAGATCACATTGAGTTTTTACTGAGCGCTTGTTTCTCCCTCAGTCTCAACCTTGTTTGTTCTTTCTTTTCGGCAGGAAGCCTTCCTGCAAACTGGACCTTTTCGGACTGCCTTCTCCCAAGTGGGATCAACTGAGTCTTACACTGAGCGACGGATTCCAAACAGGAGGTTTAGATCCAGCCACCTTTGAGCATGCTGAGATCACTCTCTGAGTAAGGAAGTCATCTTCACCACGAAGCCCCTGTCACACCTTGACGCTTTAGCAATCGTAATCCTAACGTATGAAAAATCAGGCATGCATTGGATAAGTTATGGGTACGTTTTGTATAAGTTATGAGCACACTGGTACACATTGACATACGGTGAGTACGTTGAGAAATTTTTAGCTTGCTCAAAACTCCCGACGTATGCCCGACGTATACTCATACGTGGGCCATAAGTTACAGGTAAGTTATTTGATCGCTGACATACGTTAGGTGTATTTTATTCATAAGTTGTGGCGTCTAGCTTATCCAAAACCTATGAGTAATTTGTGCATAACTGATGCGTAACTTATCAGGAATTTTTCTCCGATGCATACAGGTATGAACGTATTTGACGTGTTCCAGATGATGGCTGAAAGTTTCTCTAACTTATAGCTACTGTATAATGGCGTATTAGCAGCGTTTTGGTATAAAAGGGGAAAACGGGAATAGGAAAACATTGGTACTTCTCCACACTTCATCTAGGGTGAGCGATAAGGTCAAGAGTAGAGTGAAGAGTGTGTTGGTGCAGGAGTATTGTACAAAACCAAACTTTTCTTATTTCCAACATCATCATATGACATTGTTTCACCACAGATTCATTACTTCATCGCTATTGAGGCACAGCCACTGGAAACTGAAATGTTCAATCTAACTGCAGGCTATCTGCAGAATTTTACAAAGCTGTTTGCTGGTCCTCATGGGAGATACTGTCTTCCTAAAAGCAAAACAATACAGCTTTCGTCCACTGGGAGAAGCCAAAGCTGACCTAAAAGGAAAGTTCTTTAGAACTGCTTTAAGTTGACTTTACTTAAAAAGTATGCAAACTAGATGCATAAAAATAAATAACATCATCTGAAAAGATGATGTAACTTTGTTCAAGGTGTTGTGTGGCAACACCCACTGACAACAGTCAGCTCATGAGTTCACACTGATCTGCAAGTCTTCACCACTTTCAAATGATTAACCTTTATCCAATATGTTGAGTTATTAGTAACTTCTTATCCAACAGTTCACAGAACTTACTAAAGATTAGTTTAAAAAACAGGTTGAAGTAGTAACGAGGTCTGTTTATTTGATGTATTTTATAAGATAGAATATTGCATTTGGTACATACAGTACAAGAATGGATGGATCCTGTTAATTATAACAGCCGACATTATAGGGTTGTCTGGCCAAATCCATGGCCGAAAGAACAGCCAATGAGAATTTACTGCATAAGTCTCAACTTTTTCTGAATCATTGTTTTTGTGTGGACTCAACTTAAATATTTTAAGTTATTAAGATTCTTTTCTATCCAGCTATGCTCACACGTTGCATTTAAAAGGAGGATAAACAACAAAATTATGAGAATTGATTTCTGCTCACTTGAAGTTTTTAATAAAATGTAATGTTCCATTTTATAGTGTGCGTTTCCCACTTGTTTATCGCAAATATGTTTTTTACATTTGACCTTTATTCTATCATTTATGTTTTTTTTGTGCAACCTCACTCCATAATTGATAACCTGACCAAATCATGTCAAAATTATAATTCTTTATGCAAGGAATGAGTGACAGCAGTTGGCCTGATAAATAGTAACGTAATTAATGAGAAAATAGCCTTAACTCCACTGGCATGTCAGCCAATTCAAACATTAAAATAGCTGAAGTGAGAATAAACTAGTATAAGATTGATTCATTTGTTCTGGTGCTTGCCTTGATATTTGAACATTTATCAATGTGAACACATTATTCTAAAAAAATAGCAGCATTGTGATGTTTCAGCTGTTTCGGCATTGCCAGACTCTGAAACTGGAATTTTAAAGGAAAAAAAGGAAACCTTGAGTTGGAAATTCAAATATATATTCTATAGATGTGTAGGAAAATCTGCAAGTGCATAGTCATGTTTTTTGACATTTTCTCTTTTTTATATTAAAAACTTGCTGTGGTTGCATACAAAGAATTTCAGAACGATTACCACATCTTCTTAGTGAATTATTTATTATTTTTGTTGTATCTATTAAGTTTTTTCTCAGTTTGTTAGAAAGTAAACCCATCAGGTTTACAATAACAGAGGTGGTTCGATACTGAGCATGTGCACAGATGGTAAACGAGGAAGTAGCCTACTACGGCTAAGCCAGTTAGCACCTCACAGTGAAGTATGGAAATAATGAAGAAAAATCCAAGATCCAGTTTTAAAAAAATGCAAATACTGTAAATATTGATTCCAACAGGAACAAAACTCAAACAGCATTTGGTATATGGCATGATAAGTGATGCTCACTGAAGCAGAAGCTAAATCTGTGTAGCAAATCAGATGTTGCTGTTAACCCTTTAAAGCCCGATCCAAGAATAAAACAAAACAGAAAATTTGTTGTTTTTGGTTTGAAGTCCTTATTTGGCCTTTTAACAAAATATGTAAAAAGAAAAAACAGAAATACATTTTTGATATTAATAATTTATTATTATGCGATAAGTCAAGATTATTTTTTGTGTAGTCTTCTGCCCGCTGTTATCAGGTATATCTGATTGTGTACAATAGGGTTTTGAGCAAAGTTTTTACTATTAAATTACGCAAAAGGTGTCAGACGCAAAACATTTCAGAAACCGTACGTATCAAATATGATACATTTGGCATTACAGGGTTAAGTTGATGAGTAAACATCCCTATCAATGATAAAAGTTCTGATAGCAATGCTGTTCTCAGTCTCTACAGGTGAAGGAAAAACGACTCAAAAATTACCTAAAGATGATTCACACTATCAAGATGGACAGCTGGTGAATGTAACTCGATTGCATCCTGATCAAATGGTTTTAGTCTTTTTGTATTGGTGTTTAATTTGACTATAAATTGTAAATTGCACAACTGTAAATTGCACAATTGTAAATTGCACAACTGACACACAAGGCAGAAATGCAGTAGAGTGAGGAAAGTGTAATAAATAATTTTCCATCGTAATAACTGAAAGGTTGTCTGTGCCAACAGAGTTTTGTGATGTAATCTAATTCTTTTTTATTTTTTATAACCCCTTTGGAAAATAAAAATAAGGCGCATATTCCTTTGTGCATAACATGAAAGTGTTTTTATTTTTGGTATAGCACGAAATAAAAAAATGTATTGAAATATAATACAAAAATACAATATACAAAATACAATCAATCAATATACTTTAAAGTTTTTAGAGTTTGCATCTTAAATTAAACATTATATCTTTAAATCCCAAATCCTTTCTGCAGTTTTAGAGAAAAAAACCTGAGATGATAAAAATGCAAAATACGGCTAAAGCAGCATAATAGATAAAATTCACTCCTAGGGTGGAAAATTGAAAAGTCAATATTACTCTAGGCTGCCAGAAAATGCTATCAGAACGTATTTCAGAGCCATCTTTTTCCTGTTTGTCAATCTTACATTTTTTTCCCCCGCACACTTTAAAACAGATTTCAGCTTGCAGGGCAAAATACATTTGATTTTATAATCTTTTTTCAAGTCAATTTCTTGTAAGAATAAAAGAAAAAAACTGACTACCCCTAATTTGGACTCCCCTTGTGCGTAGATGTCTGAATTGCAATTTGCATCATAGCACTGGAACTCTGAAAAAAGTGCTGTAGCTGAAAGGCCGTTATTAACACAAAGGCAAGACCAGGCAGCGGCTTGTACAATAGCAGCACTCGATTGAGCTGTCGATCACAAAGCAAAACTTGCAAGGAAATTAAAGAATGCAGCATCCAGCAGACCAAAGGAGGACAAAAAAAAAACTAAATTGTGGGGAGAAAGTCCATCAAATTACCTTTCTTTTTTCCATTCAGCTCTCTGTTAGACCCATTCTGTATTAACCAGTCAACAGTTAAATGCCTTCATCTCCATGGAATGACTTCA